ATAAATTGAGGTTTAGGCTCTTTATTGTTGATTAAAAAAATACCAAATCAGATTATAAATTTATATTAATTTATTTTAGATTTATTTTCATGGTACAACAGCATCGTTTTGAAATTTTGAATGAGTAAATTATTTTAACTTTATATATCACTTAATCAGAGGAAAAACTATAATAAAAATTTGTTGTTTGGAGAAACGGGAACACCTAAGATCTCAAACCTCTTTAATCTTTATACTATGTCAGTGCATGATTCGTCTATGCAGTAAAACAAAAATATCTTATTTTCTAATTTATCTTAAAATATGTGTATTAACCCTTACGAAAAAATCGATTTTGATGATTATTTTAAAACTAGAGGAAATATTCTAGTGTGTAATATTTTTCGACCCATGTAATATTATGTCTATTATGTGTAATAATATCATTATTATATATCAAATCATGAATTTTTTTTGAAGAACTTATAATTTTGCATATTTAATTACTGTTTGATTAATAAACTAAATTGTAACTATTTTTTTATTTAAAATAATTTACAGTTAAAATACAAAATTGATGTGTTAAATGACTATAGTACAAGTGTATAGGTATGCAACATTATTAATTCAATACAAATATCACAAATCTTAATAATAATTAAAAAAAAATATTGTACACAAATATAATTGCAAAGAAATACACAAATATGATTACAAATAAAAACACAAATATGGTTACAAAGAAAGATACAAATACGAAAAAATTCTAAAAAAATATGTATCCATTTTCTCAGTACAATAGAACTTCTATAAATTAATACTCAATAAATTAATATACATTAAATATCTATGTAGTATAAATATATTTATAAAATAATATAATTTTATAGTCTCAAATTGAGTTTTTAATTCAATTAATATATCAATAAATTAATATAAAAAAATAAAATTTTGATATTTTTAAACTTATTAATTTATAGAGATTCGCAGAATCTAGTTTCAACTTAAATCGTAAGGCTCTTGTTGAAGTTGCGAAATGCATTTTTTTCTTCTCCAAATCCTCGACAAAGCTGCTTTTAATGAGTCATTAACCTTCTTACAATATTTTATCGACGATCACTAACAACCTTCTTACAAAGAAAAAAGTTTATTTTGAATAGTTGAGAAATTTAATAAAAATTTATCATCGTCTCTAGGCTTACTCGACTTCCTCTATACATTTCCTGAAGGCCCAAAATTCTTATGCTGTGAGTAAAGATGTTTCCCCTTGAAGTCTTTCGTTGTATTGATACGTTAATATATATTACAAACAGGTGAGTGATATCAGGGATCACCACTATTCTAGGAGAATATACTAGGAACAATATCCTACAATATCTGAACTATACAAGATACGTTCTTATCATCTAATACCCTCCCTCAGTTGCAGTGTGGGCTCTGTCACA